ACAGCTTCAGTCTTCCATTGCATGGAAGGACCGTGATATATTTAACTGATGCCGTATTTATGGACACATCACCTAAAGGCATTAATCCCAAACCTTTTCACATCTAATTTTGATTTCTGCTCTGTAATGTACCTGATTAATGAGTTTGTCACACAGAATCTTTTGTTATATGACCCTTAAGAAAGAATCCAGTTTAAAAGATATATTTTTAAAAGTCCTGAACTGTTCTTGTTGCTGCTTCTAAAAACTCGAAACATCCCCACACCAGTTGCTGTTGCTTTTCCAATGTCTGTATCTGGGGACCCAGCAAGCATGTAGTCAGTCCTGTTTTCTGGTAGAATGAGGCAAAGCGACCGTAGAAATAGAATCTAGGTCTGGCTCTGCCCTCTTAACATGCTCTATGACTCTGAACTTTTCCTTTCCATCTCTGATCCTAGGTTTCTTTAACTGTAAAATGAGGAGATTGGACTAGATCAAGGGTCAACAAACTTTTCTGTAAAGGGCCACATAGTAAACATTAACCTGGCAGGCAGTGTAGCCTCTGTCACAACTACCCAACTCTGCTGTTGTGGTGTGAAAACGGCCATAGACAATGCATAAGTGAATGGATGTGGCTGCATTCCAATAAAACTTTATTTACAAAAAACAGGAAGTGGGTGAGATTTGGCCTCTGGGCCATACTTGCTGACCCCTAGGCTATGGGTGTTTCCATCTCCTAGTTCTTTTCTACTTAGAGGAATGAAATGGACAAACACACCCAGCGTCCATGTCGGTAGGCACTCACTGGGGGCCTTATGGAGATTACTTGGAATCCTCACAGCACTTGTCAGGTAGATAATATGAGAAAATTGAACCTCAGAGAGGTTACGTACTTTGATCGCTTTTTTTTTTTTCCTGAGCCCCTTTGAGCCTCAACTCCTTTTCATGTTAGATTAGAAGAGATTCTTAGCAAGGCCAGTCTTTTGTGGTTGGTACAAGGATGGAATGAGGAAGTCTCTGAGAACAGTCCTGGCAGAGGGAACAGCCAAGTAAAGACTGGGAACAGGAGAATATTTGAGTGCTGGAGAACTGAGGGGAGCCAGGGTGGCTAAGAGGCCAGTGATGGGGAAGGGAAGAGGAGGGAGAGTGGTAAAAAATGAGGCCACAGAGGCAAGGCCATGACACAATCCAGTGAAAGCTTTCAGAGAATCATTTTGGTTCTTGTATGGAGACTCAAGCCCAGGCTTGTCTTTACAGAATTTCTTGTTTTAATGCGGGTGATCCATTCATTCATCTATCAAAGGAATGGATGGAAATTGCTTTCGGTGATCATAATGCTTGATTGTGAGTGGGGAAGCAACAGGAAAACCAAAAGAGCCGTGGACTTGCCGACTCTGAGACCTAGCTTGGTCTCTTTCCAGCCTTGTGACCTTGGGTCCTCACATAAACTCTCTCGTTTCAAGTTCCTCATCTGCCAAGTGTGACTGCTCACGCCCTCAGTGCATCTCTGGGTTGCTGTAAATATCCGGTGGGATCATGTTTGTGAGAGCTCTCTACAAATGTGAAATAGGAGTCAACACCATGTCGTTCTTATTGTTATTATTATCATTGGCCCATCCTCTGCTGCTGGGCTTGCTATGAATGTATTAGAAAGGCTGTGAGATCCTCCTCTCTTAATTCTCCTTGTGTTAGGGTTGAATTAACTTGGGCCTGGCCCACTACGTACTTGGGAATGGAAAACTCATCCCATAAACAATCTCAGATTCCATGAGTCTAGTTGAAGGCTGTGGGCAGAAGACAGTGGAATTTGGTTGGGAGAGGTAAAGAGAAGAAGGGAACAAGGGCTGAGACATGAAGGAGAGGGGCCTGCAGGGGGAGACTGAGGTGGTTATTTGTCCCCAGGTGAGTTTGAGAGGATCTACTCAAAGGGATTGCAGTGGGTCTTTGTATTTGTAGGGCTTGTGGAATGTCCCTGGCTTATGGGGAGACTGATCTGGGTTCAAGTTCTAGATGTAGGTTTTACTAAGTGAAGGATCTAGATCATAAGGACAAAAGCAGGTTAAAACTAAGAGGCTTACTTAGTTCTCCCTGCTGAAAGGAAAGATTTCTTTTCTCATCTTTTTCCTAGAGCATTTAACTTTAGAAAAACGTGTAAGTAAGTTTCTCTTTGAAATGTATATAAATCCTTTTGGAGACCAGATAAGCCTTTTTTTCTCAGTGAACTAACTGGGAGCTATCTTTTGGAAATCAGAAGAGCAGCTTGACACTGTGGAGGAGAGCACCGAGCAGGGTGTCCAGTGGTCTGGTTTTCAGCTTTAGGCTAGATAACCTTAAAAGGCCTTGTTTCTTCCAATGGCCTGATGGGCTTTTATGTGTAATGGAGTTGGTGGCCGGGACCTCAGGTGTAGCACTCTTGCCACCAGTGTCTTCCTTCCCTCCTTCAGACGCCCTTTCCTGAACCACCACTACCCCCAAGGCTGGGGTAGGGGGACATCTGGAATTCCACAGCACACAGCCTATTTTCTTGTCTTGCATCAGACTTGGAGCTCTCTGAGGCCAAGATCAAGTTTTCTCAGTAGTTGTCTGGTGCCTGGCATAGAGTGACAGTCACATCACGGTAACTGTGTGAGTATAGCTCTCTCCATTCCCAAGTACCAACTGCTCCCACCTGCCTTCCTAGTGCTGTCAAAGAATTGATATTAATATCCTTTTTTTGGTAGAAAAGGAAACAGGCTCAGACAAATGCAGCCACATGCCTATTTTCATGTGGCCAGAGGTGGCAGAGCTGGGATTCAAATTCACATTTCACTGTCACATCCATCCAGGCTCTGCGTGGTGACTTGGGTTTCCCTCCTTGTATCCCATCTTTCATTTCCTCTGACTTGGTTATTATCCCTTAGCCCCTCCAGATACCCTCTCTGCCCTTCTCGGCCCTTCCCGGTGCCCTGCAAGGCTGACCACTGAACACACATGCCCGCTGGGAGCAGAATGACAAGTTTTCCCTCCTTTTTTATGCTCCCTCCCTGCTGTTTTGACAGATTACAGGCCTTTCCCCTACTCAGCCCCCAGCCCCTCCAGGCAGCCCTCCCCACTTTCATTTTAGGTTTCCTTGGGTTCCTCTAAATCTCTTCCCTCCTTTTGCCCTTTCCGGCCAAAGTGTGGTGATGGGCCTCCCACTGTTGCGAACCTCAAGATACTCTCAGCCCCGGAGGCTCCTTTTATTCTGTCTGCATCTCAGCATACAGACCCTTCTTTGAACCCATTTTAAATTCTTTAAACTTTCTTCTTTAAACTCTCTTCTTTGAATGGGCCAGTTGTTTCTTTTCAGGACCCCCATCGTTACATGTGCCTCACCCCCATTTTCCTTCCTCTTCTGATGCGCCAAGAAGTACATCTCCTGGCCAAACCACAGCTCCAAATGTCCTCACATGTCCACTCTCCCAGGAGATGCTTTAACTATAATCGAATGTAGATTTAGCCCTTTCATGTCATGAATACCTACAATAGGGCAGCACTCAGTGCCTTCCCTCATAGGCTTCCTGTAAAGTGACAGCTTTTCTCTCAAACTCTCTTTCTGACTTGGCAAATTTTTGCCCCCCTCTGGACTGTATTTATCTGAAGGTCTTCTAGATCAACAAAGATATTCTCTGGCTTCTGCCTATACAGGTGAAGCCAGACATCATCCTGGGCAGAGGGAGTGTTTCCCTTCAGAACGCAGGAGAGCTCAGGTTGTTGGAGTTGCTCAATGCTTCATCAAAAACAGTCTCTTCTAGCTGAAGAGGGAGAGAATCCCCTGGCACTGACCAGACACGGCCATCATTCGATTCCCGGGAAGCAGCACCGTGGAGGTTCGGGACTCACAGCCTGACCTCCCACGCCCTGCAGGGCTCCTCTAACATAAACAGCATTTTCTGGTTGTCCGCATATTTCTACACTTTCTGAACCATGGCATGTGGCCATGGATGCTGCTGCCTGAATCGCGCACATTCTGTTTGCTGACTTTGGTGGAGCAGCGAGAGTTACACATTCACCATGGCTTGCTCACCACGTCTCTGCTTTGAAGTTGGCCAGTATTGCTCAGAAGCCAGGTTTCCAATTAAATCCATTGAAAACTCTGTTTTCTTCTCTGGAATTTAATACTTTGGACTGAAGTTAAAGCAGCCATCAACAGATTATGCAAGAGCATTTTTTTTAAAGGGATATTACTTGAATGGCACATTCTTCAGGCTGTAACGTTTTTGTTGTTCCTAGTGCAGAATTATACATTTTAGCCTTGACACCTGTACCCCCTCATTGTTCTCCCTAGACCCTATGTATATTTTTTGACTAAGCTCCTCCCAACCCCCATAACCCCCAACCCCAGCAAGACCATCTGGCAGACAGTTCTTTCTTGAGCATTGAAAAAGTATTCTAAACCCAAGAAAGGGGGTTGATTAAATAAATTATAGCAAATACATATACAGGAATATAATACAACCACTTGTATTATTCTCATGCTGCTGTGACTTTATTAACAATAAATTCAATGATAACAAATTGGGACATTCAAAATAATTCCATCTTATTAAAAATATGAAATTACGTACTCCAAAACGTTAACATTTTAGAGTGGTTACCTCTATGGGGTTATGGGTAATAATAATAATTATTTCTTTTCCACATCTGTGTTTTCTGACTTTTTTCAATGACCATGTGTTAGTTATGTAATTTAAAGAGGTTTCTTTTTCCAAAGAAAAGGAACATTCCCAAATTATCAGTGAACTATGATTATAATTATCTAAAAATATGTGGCTTGAAAGTGTTCCCATGTAAGCATAGAAAGGGACAATTCATTTCCTGGAAATATTGAGAACAAACCCCAGATGGGCCTCTCCACCCCTCACAATCCATATTTCCTTTGCATGTAGACGTAAGAAAGAAAAGGAGCCTGACAGTCAAAGAGCTCTGTCCAGGGTTGCAATAGGTGCCAGAAGCCTGCAGAGGGTCTCCCGATCCCCCAGGCAGTGGAAAGTCTTGCTTACCTGGAACACACAGGCCTCTCCTTGGGCCCGGAGCTGGCCAACGAGCAGGTAGGTGGTGAGTCCTGCCAGGATGGGGAGCAACACCAGGCAGCAGGTGAGAGCCCAGCGGGTGCTGCTGCTCTTGGCGGCGAGCCCAGCTCTGGCCTTGGGCCTGCAGCCGCCGTCCTCCGGCAGCATTTCCATGCTGGCTCTTTCCCCAAAGCCCAGCCCCTGATCCTCTGCCATGCTCCTCCTGGTCCTGGAGACGGCTCTGACTCCTTCTGGGCAGAGAGACCCCCATTAAATAGAAGACCAGCTCTCACAGTGGGTGAATTCATTACTGCCTACTCCTCCCCCTGGCCTTCCCTTCTCTCCCCCTACAACACACTGCCCCGCCTTGCTAGGGAATGCACCGCCTACAACAGAAACCAAGTTTGGTTTAAGAAAAAAAAAAGAAGAAGAAGAAAGCTTCCCAAGTGTATTTACGTACAGTGTGCTCATGTGCTCCTTCCTTCACTTACAGAAGGAAGTCAGGAAAGTCCCTGCAGGAGAAGAAAAATAATTCATCAAGTCAATGGGTGGAGCAAATTAAAAGATACCTGTTTCTGTGCTGGAGGGCTGCCAGTATGCCAGTCTGGGGAGTGTGCTTCTTCTGGAAGTGAAAGTGAGGGATGGGGAGGTGTGTGATGTGGCTTGCAGACTGGGAAATGGAAATCAAGGTTGCATCACCACTTTTCAAAGTGCTGCCAAGCCCTCGTCACTTTTGAGCCTTGTAGGAGCCCGTTCCCATTGCACAGATGGGAATACCAAAGTTCTGGAAGGCGAAGGCATGTGTCCTAGGTCGACCAGGGATTCAGACAGAGAAGCTAGGGACATGCTCGTGTTCTAAATCATGGCTTGGGGTTCTCGCCTCTGCCACACAACTACCTATGAAAGGAAAGTAAGTTTCTAGCCTGTGTTGACCAATTGTCTAGGCAGAGTATGAAGTCATAGAGGTGACACTCTGTGAGGAGAGGACATTGACTTCTCTTTTGGGATTAGTCCAAAGTTGATTGAACACCAGGGACCGGCCTTGCCCACAGTTGGGTATGTATGGGGCCCACAACATGTAATAAAGGCTGACATTTATTAAACACTTGTTGTGCTAGTTACTGTTATGAGTTCAATGTATCAGTGAAATTGTTCAATCCTGAGATAACCTTGCGACATAATAATATTATTATTTCCACTTAACAGTTAAGGAAATTGAAGCATAGAGAGTAAGCAGTAAAGTCAGAATTGGGACTTGGGCAAGCTTACTCTACATCACCTTCCCATTACACTGCCCTGTACGTGCTGCTGTGTAGCGTAGGTACATAGACACCTGCCCCATAGGAGGTCCTCCTTCCAGTTAGGGGTTGGGGAGGCTTCCTGGAGAAAGGTGCGGTCCTGGAACTAGACCTTGCAGCTTCGAGAGGGTGATCTTAGAGAAGAGTGGGGGACCCTGCAAACAGATGGGTAACAGAAAGAGACAAGCTCAAGGATATCTCGCGGAATTTGGTGGAAACCAGTCGTTGCTTCTCCTGCTTAGATCACAGCCTGGACCCTTCAGGCTACTTGGAAAGGCCTTTTATAACCTGGTTCCTGCCAACCCATGTCCAGCCTCATCTCTTACTACTTTCTCAAGCTGCAGT